ACACCCTCAGCAATTCTTTTTGGCCCTTTTTACATTTTACTGCCAAAATGTATTGTTCTGCGTATTTCGCCATCCATCAGCACACTAATCAAGTAGTGCTTGTATGCATACTTCTATCAAACCGACAGATCCACAGTGAAATATTTGTACAACATGGTTGAAAATATACAAAGCTTTTCCAAGTTTATGTAATTACATGCAGATGTAAAGGAGTCCGTGATTTCACCTCGCACAGCTCAGTTCTAATCAAGATATTCATCCTCTTGGTCATCTTCGGCGCACTCCTGCTGTGCATTGTTGCTGTCGGGCAATACCTCCTGGGAAAATATGTATATTGGAAAAGAGAAATATTCCAAAGACATTTGCTGGAGAATGCTCCTTCTTTCCAGTCTTTCAAAATTTGGTACTACATATTCCAGCATTACTGCCCCAAATCTCAAAGTTTTATTCATATTAGTTATTATATTTAGTTTTATTTTTTTCAAAGTTTTAAACTGCCTATAGAGTTAATTTGATGCGCTGATTACGAACATGATATTCGTTTTTGACGCCTTCGCCTCCTTGTTTTGCTGCTATTTTCACCAAATTCGTGGAAACTTGTATGTAGGGGTTATTTGGGTCCTGATTACGAATATGACATTTATTCCGCGTTGGCGCCATTTGGCGCCCATTTTCTGCTCGTCTGCGCCCTCTCACTGGTTTGATCGCGATCAGGACTAAGCCTTTGGGGAGAGGAGGCTCAGAGGTGAGCAAGCCACTCACCCTGTGATCTCACACACTTCATCTTTGCCAAAGATGCGCAATTTACCCAACGCGGTGCCCCCTTCCCAACAAGCTTACCCTTATGGCACTGTACCTGAGTGAGAGAGCCCAGGAGAGAGGAAATACGCGCTGGAGGGCGTTCTTTCCAAAAAAAAAAGAATCAGGACACCAAATAAGTCCTATACGCAAGTTTACACTGGATTTGGTGAAAACAGCTGTCGTGACAAAGCGGCGCCAGCGTCAAAAATGAATGTCATTTTCGTAATCAGGGCACCGAATTACCCCTATAGGCAAAGTTTCGACGAAAAATAAAATTTTGAGATTTTGGGGCAGTAATAGTTGAATAGTGCCCGAAATTTCCATATACAGTTACATGGCTGTGTGATATAAATTTGTAATGCCGCTTACAGTCCTTTATCTGCGATAAATTTCCGAATATTTTGTGCGTAATTGCAAAATTACTTAATTACCTAAAAATTGTTGTATATTTGACCCTTACTCATTGATCTCCAGATATGTTTTATTGTTACATCCCACCGCTTTACCCAACGAATATTATTATATAATCTTTGAAACAGTTAGATCTAAATTCCAGCACGATGGCACACCTTACCTGCCAAGGGAGAGAGATAGCTGGCTGTTCTTCTACCGGCAGCTGTTTTTTACTTCTTTCAATGAGGAGATCAACCATTTCAGAAACCTTATCCGTCTGACTTGCAGGCGCCGTTTCTCCTTGAGTATTAGGGGACTGCGGTTTTTCCGTTTGCACCTTGAATGAATACGTTCACATGAAAACCAACGCTGTCACTACGAGAACTACTGTATACCGCCGATTTTGTTGACTCAGACAAAGGACCACCATCGAGATCTTTCTCTTCACTGGCCACTCCATAGTCATCACCAAAAGATACTGTCACCTTCTGAAAAGATGTTCTCTCAAAATGAAGTGTTGCCTTGCTCGCGTTATTTTTTTATTACATACGCCACATAAGACAGCGCAAGAAGAAAAAAGCAAACGTTTAGCAATCAGTTGATTCATTTGCTCCACTTTCGGTCCATGCGGACCACCAACCCTTTTTCATGTATAAGTGTTCGGCATTGATTGAATCTGGGGTCTGTGTTTGAGTATCATAGGTCTCCCTGACTGATCTGTTCCCAACCAATCGACCGAACCCGGAAGGATGGAAGGCTTGTTAGCTTGGACGACCCAAAGGGCCTACCCACGTGCACACGGATCACACTAGTAAACCCTAAAGAAGTGAACCGCGCCACATTCCCAGACTACATCGGAGGGACATCACTTATCTCACGTTTTCATGCGATCTCAGTCATAACATTCGCTCATTAGTTGAAGGTGGCTTTAATGATAAGTTGCCACCCACTGTTCAAATGTGAAAGTAGAGGTGTCTGTTGTG